ATTTGTAAGTACCTGGCTACATGATAGCAAACAGATGGACTTGCTTAATACAAGGAATGTTAGAGGAAAGTTGAGGGATGTTGAAAGCAGTAAACCGAAGAGAAATGGTATGAAAGGGATTCGGTGGAGTAGTGGACAACATTCAGCAAGAACTTTATTCTCAACATTGGGAGCACCTCAATTCAATATTTGTATATGTGTACGTTTGCATGTTTGTAAAAGTTACTTATTCTGTTCCAAGAAGGAAGTCTTTCCCTAGGAAGAGAATCATACGTACAATAAATGGCATACTTTCTGGGTAGAATTTATAAAGTATTTCATTAGCAGTCTTTCCTCTCAGGTAAGGAAATTAGGAAGTAAAATTATGTCATTGTTTTATTAATAGGTTCATCAAAGTTCAACAAGGCAACTAGATTTGTTAATTTGTTTGAAAATGTAGGTCTCTTATGTCTGTTACATATTTGGTTGTGATATTCCCTTGCAGAATTTTTCAAATTCTTCCATGAAAGTTTGAACTTTAGAAAACATCAGTTTCACTTTAAAAATCAGAAAAACATATAACAACACAAAAGAAAATGACCATTATATTATTATTCATATTTTTTGTTATGCTTGAAAATAGTTCATAGTTTTATAGTCAATCCTTGTTGCTCATGTATTTTATGTATAGTAGTTTGTATCTGTTAATCCCATACTCCTAATTTGTCCCTCCCCGCCTTCCTCTCCCCTTTTGTAACCATATGTTTGTTTTGCTGTATAATTCATAGTTTTAAATAGTCAGCATTTGAGGCCTTTTCCAACCTCCAAGAGTGGACTTACAAGAAACAAGATGAAAATGTGTTAATTGTTAGTTAATTCTTTGTCTAAAGGAATGTATATTTATATCTGATGGGGACACATTTCCCTCATCTTGGACTTCAAATTAAATTTCTTAAGAGCTGCTTTTTATTCAATATATTTTCAGTAATTTAAAATTTATGCCTAATCACGTTTTTTCATTCATCATAATGAATGTTAACTAGATACTCTATTTATACTTATGCTTATCTTGATTTTAAGGTGTTATAATCACTTCAGGTATCATGATTATTTAATGACTTCATTTTTTTAATGCTCTCCAGTGAGAATAGCTATGTCATTGTAGAACATAAACCTATTTTTCCCAGGTCTAGAAAGACAATGTGACATTATATTCTCACTGTTTATGTGATACCTGTTTCCAAATATGTTTTTGTCAAAACTTTTTGTTTTAGGTAAATAACAAGGACCTACTGTACAGCACAGGGAACTATGTTCAATACCTTGTAATAACCTGAAAATGGAAAAGAATCTGAAAAAGAATATAGTTATATATGTATAACTGAATCACTTTTCTGTACACCTGAAACTAACACATTATAAATCAACTATACTTAAATAAACAAATGTTTTTAAACTTTACATTTTAAATGTCAAAATCAGTTGGGATGTTTCCTCATTACCATTTCCATTATTGACTGATTGCTGTTTTCAAGAAGATAGCCTCTGTTCCTGAATTCATACACGTCTATATTTATTTGACTTCTTTACTTTTAAGGTAGAAAATGATTAGCTAAGATAAAATGGAAGGGTGAACTAAAATAAGTTTGCTTTAAAATTTGTTGTTAACCTATTATATGATCATGGGTATTACTAGCTATTTTTTCCTTTTTTTAACAATGAAGAAAACACTGCTTGTTTGCACTTACAGATCTCCAACCCTAATTATTTGTGCCAGGTGTCAGCATCCTCTGATATTTCAGAAAAAATTAGAAATTTAGAATGTCTTATTAATATATATTTGCTACTGATGTTTTTAAATTCAGTGCTTACCAATTGTTAAACTAATTTAGGCTTTGTTTTATAGTTTAAAATTATGCACTAAATAAAATATTTAAACTTCTCTTTGGCTCATGTTCTAGCAACCATAATTTCATGTTCGAAGTTTTTGTTTGGTTCAGTTGTGTGGGAGAAGGGCGGTTTTTATTTTAATATTATCACCTAGCTCAGAGCAGTTGAGTAAATTAGTTACCAGGCAAACCTACTGAAAAGCTTGACGTTCATTAACCCTGAAGGGTCAACCATTTCAGCTCGTAAAGAAACCAGAACCTTAGAGGCATTGCTCAGGAAACAGTTCTTGGGGTGGCAGAAGAGGAAGCATCAGTTTTGAAATATGAAGAGAGGAGTCTGTTGGGGAATCCAAAGCCAGAGATGAAAACAATGTATTGGCTTACCCTTGAGTGATGAAGCCAAGCTTCATGCAGGGATAAAAAATAAACTTGGTAATTGATACTGCATATGACTCTGCGGCTTTGTATATGACAAAGAAAAATAAACCAGGTGTGATGATAGGAATCTCAGAAACTCAAACTAAAATAACCAGAGTTTGAAAAGATTGACTTATAGGATTAGTGCATTATGGCATCAGACTCATGGGAAGAATTTTCAGGAGCCAAAAAGGGAAGTATCATGGTCTAAGAGTAGAGTAACTAATGAGTGAAAGTCTAGTACCAGTTCCCTGATGTAAAGGGAACCTGATGTCCCTGAAATCCCAGCCTTGAGGATGAAGCGGTGTCAAGGCAAATCTGGGTCAAACCTAAAATTTGAGTAGCTTTGATTAGCATCTCTCCTAGATATGGTTAATCCAATTCAATTCTGTTCAAAAATATTATTTGTCAAGAAAAACTAAGAAACAGGCTTTGACTTCTAGACCTTGCCTGATTAAAGTGACAGATGCGTAAATAGATCAGTTTAATTGTTAAGTGCAGAAAACTAGAAGAATAGACAGGCTGCTTTGGGAGTTCAGAGAAGGAGCATTTATTCTAACCTGGAGATGTTAAAGAAGGCTTCCTTGAGGAGGTGAAACCTTCAATGAGTTTTTGAAGGATATTAGGAGTAAGCCAGATAAGGCCAAGTAAGGCCAAATAAGGGGACTAGTAGCTTGTGCTTAGGTCCTTTAAAGCCAGCACTGTGTTTTATTTACCAGTGCATCCCCAGTGCCTACAACACTGTAAAGCATGCAGTAATTATTATGGGTGAATGAATGAGTGGTCTTCTTTGCAACAAATTAAACCTACAACTATGACTGGATCTTAACTTAGCTATGTGCTTTTACTTTTTTTTTAGCTCCATGCTTTTTCAATTTCATTATCTTTTGTTTTGTTCCTAAATAATAGGTTTGAGTCAATTCTATCTTTTAAATGTTATTTATGTGTATGTGAACAGAAACATTCCTTGATTATTAATGACAGTGAATGCTCACCCACTGGGGGGAAATTGGATAAATCCATCTTTACCTGCTGGTGCTATTTGAGAAATATTACTGGGAGTAGATGAAGAGAAATAAATGTGTTATATTTGGGTGATGATGCCATTTTAGATGTGATTTTTGTGATCCATAAAAACTATTTATTCTTACAAAGTAAAGTGGAATATTAAGGCAGAAATAATACAATTAGATTTATAATTATATAATTAGAATATAATTAGATTTTTTTAATTTCGAATTTGCTTAAAATCACTGTTGTCTTATGTGAAATTGATTAATTTTTATGTTAAGAAATAAATGTCTTTTGTTGATCCAGTGTGTTGAGAGCATACATACCATATTAATTTGTATTGGATTTAGCTTTTAAATTACCATGGACAAAGTCTGTTTCTCTCCTGTCACTGTATCCCCTGGAAGTTTAAAAGAGACATAATTTGGAAGAGTTACAAGTGGGCACAGTTATGTTCTGTGGTTAAAGAGCACAAGTTTAAGAGTTAGAAGACTTAGGTTCTAGTTACAATTCTGGGCTTACTAGCCGCATGACTTGAGTAGGTTATGGAACTTCTCTGAGCCTTATCGGTAAAATGAAGGATTTAGATTAGATGATCTCTGAGTTTCCTTCCAGCTCTGAAACATCATGCTTCTCAAATTCTAGGTTTGAGAAAAGGTTGTCTAAGAAGCCGTAGTCATTTTCAATACTGTCAACATTTATTGAACATTTTGCACGAGGCATATGAGTACCAGGTTAACTAAAACAAGGACCCTGCTATTAAGGAGCTTACAAATCTAGGCTTTCCGCTTTCTCATGTGCCCTTTAAAGTTAGGTTCATTAATTTTGTACTAGAATATACAGAATTTTTATAAGAAGTTTTACTAGAATACGTGGTGACATGTCATTTATAATAATAAATATTAATAGAATTAGTGAATATATAAATATCTGGGACTTCCCTGTGGCGCAGTGGTTGAAAATCTGCCTGCCATGCAGGGTACCTGGGTTCGATCCCTGGTCAAGGAAGCTCCCACATGCCGCAGAGCAACTAAGCCCATGCACCACAACTACTGAGCCTGCGCTCTAGAGCCCGCGCGCCTCAACTACTGAGCCCACAAGCCGCAACTACTGAAGCCCACGTGCTCTAGGGCCCACGTGCCACAACTACCGAGCCCTCGTGCTGCAACTACTAAAGCCCGCGCCCCCAGAGCCAGTGCTCAGCCACCGCAGTGAGAAGCCCACGCACCGTGATGAAGAGTAACCCTCCGGCTCGCTGCAACTAGAGAAAGCTTGCACGCAGCAAAGAAGACCCACTGCAGCCAGAAACTAATAGAAAATATCTACTGTGGCTTGTATCACCAAAATTCCATAATTTGTCATTTCCTCAACTTGACGATTATCCTTAAGTGAAATAACATTAAGTTCCATGTTCAAGGCAAAACGTTAGGAATGGTTTCCAAAACCATCTTCATTATACTTTAGCTAATTTTAATAGTTCACAAAAATACAAATAATTGACAAGGAGATCAAAACAACTTGTATGAAAGATTGATAGTGTGGTGACTCTCTAAATTTTAACTTAAATACAAAGTATGCAGAAAGCATAGTAAAAATTATTAGAAATAGATTGATAAACCTTTGGGTTTTTGAAATGTGATCGCTATTAAAAGACATATTGAAAATAGTTGGTTTATTGCTAAATTTTTCATTTTTTATTTTCAGGTCCCAAAACAGTATTTTTCTGGGCTCCAATTATGAAATGGGTAAGTCTTGAATTTTTGCAGAAGCTACTGAAAAAGATATTCTTTAAAGGAGCTTATTAATTTGAAGTAACTTTTCTGAAGGATGTACTTTTAAATGTTCATGGTACGTCTTGAAGTAATTTTATACAAATACTCTCAGATGTATCAGGGGTTTTTTTGGGGGGGTACCAAATTACTTTATTTGAAGGAATGGTACTAAGGAAAGGACTTGTAGATATTTTGGTACAACTTACAGAAAAGGTAAGGTAACCCAAACATGCATGCACTGCCTTGGTGACCAGGGAAGTCACCCCTGTGGCTATGGAAAGCCAGCCTAAGGCTTAGCTCTCATTATCACTATTTCCCAGGGTGTGCTTGTCAAAAAGATACTGTGCCATGCCAGATTCGGGGGCCCCCATCCTGCGCAAGTTGGTTACGTGGTCACCCAATTCTTTAATGGATTTCACCTGCTCATTCAGATAATGAGTCTCAATGAAGTCACACCAGTGGGGGTCATTTTTCTCCGTGGCCAGTTGGTGCATTTCCAGTAGTGACTGATTCACACTTTTCCAAGTGTAGCGCACATCCCATTGCATTCAGCCCATTCTCCCAGTCATCACGGTCTGGTTTCTTGATATCCTGAAGGAAGATTCGGCCACCCCGGTGGTTCTGCAGCTTCATCAGTTCCTCAGTATGTTCCCTCTCCTCACAAGATTGGTGAAGAAAGTATTTGGCAAAGTTCTTCAAAGCCACATCATCGCGGTCGAAATAGTACGACATGGACAGGTAGACGTAGGAGGTGTAGAGCTCCAGGTTGATCTGGCGGTTGATGGTGTTCTCCGAGTCCTGGTGGTAGTTCTGGCGCACCTGCGAAGGGGACGCGGTCGTCATGGCGGGCGGCTGAGGTGAAACAGTGGCGGTGGCTGCGCGGCGCTGTAACGGCGGCGGGGACCTTGGGGCGGTCGGAGGGCGCCGTGAGGTGGTGGCGAGGGCTGGCTCTGAGCGGGCGGCCGGAGCGGGGGACGAGCGCCGGTTCCGTCCAAGCACTGTTGAAGCAAGAAACCGCGGCGACTCTCCGGGAGGACTGTGGCCAGATGTATCAGTTTTACTGCATAAAGCATACTACCTACTTTAGTTTTTCTGAGCTCCTTAGATAGGTGAGAGCCCTTTGGGGAACGTATTGTTATCAAAAAGCTTATAATTATGGGCCCTAGGAACATGAAACTTCATTCTAAAATTTTGTGGCTATGTAAAACTTTAAATTAATTAGGACACCCCCAAATTAACTTTTGTTATTAATTTAGTATGAGAACTTCAGATACTAACACTAAAATAGAGGCAAGGAAAGTTATTCTCAAAAAGTAGAAGAATTTATCCAAGGGTATATATATTAACATTTGGGAAATGATAGAATATGGGACTTCTGACTCCAAGACCAATGCTTTTACACCATGCCAGAGTTTGCATTCCTAAAGCTCTCATTTAGCCGAAAAGAAATATTTGCGATGGCTATTAATAACAAATCATTGATTTTATGTTGGAAGGGCCAGTTTGGGCTTAATGCAGTGCTTCTCGAAGCGTCATCCCTGGACCTGCAGCATTGGCATCACCCAGGAATATGTTAAACATGCAGATTTTCAGGCCACATCATAGATTTACTAAATCTGAAACTATAGGGATGGAGCCCAGTAATTTGTGTTTTAATAAGCCCTCCAGGTGATTCTGAGGACTTCTAAAGTTTGAAAACTACTGGTCTGCAGGCTTTTTTTTTTTTTAACTGTAAAAAAATACACATAAAATTATCATTTTAACCATTTTTTTCGTGTTGAGTACATTCACATCAGTGTGCAACCAATCTCTAGGACTCTTTTTATCTTGCAGAACTAAAACTCTGAACCCATTAAACAATAGCTCATTTCCCTCTTCCCCAGCCCCTGGAAACCACCATTCCACTTTCTATCTGTGAATTTGACTACTCTTGGTACCTTATATAAGTGAAATCATACAGTATTTGTCTTTTTGTGCCTGGCATATTTCACTTAGCATAATGTCCTGAAGGTTCATCTATGTCATAGTATGTGTCAGAATTTCCTTCCTTTTTAAGTCTGAATATTTCATTGTATGTGTATATCACATTTTGTTTATTCAGTCGTCTGTTAATGGACACTTGGGTTGCTTCACCTTTTGGCTAGTGTGAATAATGCCGGTATGAACAATGGTGTACAATATCTGTTCCAGACCTGCTTTCAGTTCTTTTGGGTATATACCTACACATGGAATTGCTGAATCATATGGTAATTCAGTATATTTAATCTTTTGATGAACTGCTGTACCATATTCCACAGCAGGTGCACTATTTTACATTTCCACCAGCAATTCACGGGGGTTTCAATCAATTTCTCCATATCCCTGCCAACACTTGTTACTTTTGTTGTTTTATAATAGCCATTCTAATGGGTGTGAAGTGGTGTCTCATTGTGGTTTTGATGTACATTTACCTAATATGATTAGTTATGCTGAGCATCTTTTCATTGACCATTTTTACATTTTCTCTGGAAAAGTATCTATTTAAACCCTTTGCTCAAGTTTTAATAAAGTTGTTTTTTGTTTGGGTTGTAGGCTATTTTAATTCTCTTAAATGTACTGTTTTAATTTGTTAGAACAATTCGAAAACTCAGCTGTAAATCTAAGTAGTTGAGAATGTTAGAACTGGAATTACCTATCCCTCAATTTTATGGCCTTAGACAAGTTCAATCTCTGCCCTTTTGTCTCATCTATAAAACAACAAGATTAGAGTAAATTAGTGGTTGGGAGCTATATTTTACAGAGAACTAGGGAACAGTTCTCTTTGTAAATTTATAAGTTGAGAAAAGCTTCCATCAGTTTAAAAAAGAAGTTTCAATATATCATCTTTAATGATTCTTCTCATACTCTAAGCATTTAAAAGAGTGATATTAAAAAAAAATACTAAAAAATGTAGATTACTATTTCCTTTCTCTTCGCTCCCTACCAACGCTTAAAATTATATATCTGCAAAGTGGAATTAATTGCTGAAATATTGTTTCTAGCACCATTATTTAAAAACTGAGAATGATAAAATAGATAACTCATAAAGACCTACCGTATAGCAAAAGGAACTCTACTTAATACCCTGTAATGACCTATATGGGAAAAGAATCTAAAAAAGAGTGGATATATGTATATGTATAACTGATTAACTTTGCTGTACAGCAGAAACTAATACAGCATTGTAATTCAACTATAGTCCAATACAAATTAATTTAGGGCTTCCCTGGTGGCGCAGTGGTTGAGAGTCCGCCTGCCAATGCAGGGGACACGGCTTCGTGACCCGGTCCAGGAAGATCCCACATGCTGCGGAGCGGCTGGGCCCGTGAGCCATGGCCGCTGAGCCTGTGCATCCGGAGCCTGTGCATCCAGAGCCTGTGCTCCGCAACGGGAGAGGCCACAACAGTGAGAGGCCCGCGTACAGAAAAAAAAATAATAATAATAATAATTTTAAAAAATAAATTAATAAAAAATAAGAATGACTTAATGTATTTCCAATAAGTTGGGGGCACCCCTGACCCCAAATTTACCACAGTTTAGAAGTTTATTGATTTTTACCAATAGCTTTGATGTTTCTTTGATCTGGTCCATCAGTGTTTTGAAACATTGACAGTATTATATACTCATAAGTGCTTTCTCGACTGTCTCCTTTAAAAATATCTATTTTAAGTTCATGTTGACATCATACATAGTCTCCTGATGACAGCATAGCAATGGAAATTTCTGTGTTTTGTTCTCTGGTGGGGAAACTTTTTCTGATATTTAGTTTATGCTTTCCTTTCCCAGAGCATTTGATAATAATTAACCTATGGTAAACTATACGTGACACATAGCAGTTGCTGCTGCAAGCCACCTAACTTGTACATTAAGAATTTTAGACTATACTTCTTTAGAGATTTAACTGTGATTGAATCCTTCTTAGCCACTTTAGTTGAAGCCAAATAATTAATTATAAAGGTCAAAGTGGATAATTCTAAAAAGCAATACTACACACCCTTAAATATTTTATTTTAACTTAAAGATTATAAGTATATATTCATGTATCAATCATTTACTATAAGGCCAAAGCTTTGATTTGTGTATGGATCCACTGGTTTTGAGTTCCACATCATCTGTCTTGGATGAATTATACCATAGTGCATCCTACGTGATTTCAGTTTAGTTTTCTTTAAAGCAGAGCAAGTTTATAGACACTTTTATGATAACAGAAACCTGCTAGATTTTCATGTCTCCCCACCATCTTTTAAAATTTATTTTATTTTATTTATTTTTGGCTGCCTTGGGTCTTTGTTGATTCACGAAGGCTTTCTCTAGTTGCCGCGAGCCAGGGCTGCTCTTCCTTACTGTGCGCGGGCTTCTCATCGCAATGGCTTCTCTTGTTGCGGAGCACAGGCTCTAGGTGCATGGACTTCAGTAGTTGTGGCACAAGGGCTCAGTAGTTGTGGCTCGCAGGCTCCAGATGCACAGGCTCAGTAGTTGTGGCTCGCGGGCTTAGTTGCTCCGTGGCATGTGGGATCTTCCTGGACCAGGGCTCGAACCCATGTGCCCTGCGTTGGCAAGCAGATTCTTAACCACTGCACCACCAGGGAAGCCCCTCACCCCCATCTTTTTATATCTGTCTTGTTCACACCAAATTTGACAGCAAGTTTAACCTGCCTGTATTCAATCTTTCCAAAATAGTCACTTTAGATTTTATAGAAATAACAACCCTCTTTCTGTGTTTCACCTGTTTACCAGTTCATTAAATTAGGTAAATTACAGTAACAAGTAAAACTGGTATAAACAGGTTTGAAGACAACACAGTGACTTGATAAAAATATAGCTCAACTAGTGAGAGCAAAAATGCATGAGTGCAGTACAGAATAAATAGCCCCTAGCCATGAGTATTCAGTCATGGGCATCGTTAGCTTGTTTACAGAAGGAATGGATATCATTGGCTAATCTGGGGAAACTATTATGTGAAGGTCAGTTGAGGGAGCTTTTTTTCTTTTTGTTCATAGTCTGTTTGTGCAGACTGGGTTTTATATATATATGTGTATATATATATATATATATTTTTTTTTTTTTTTGGCCGCTCTGGGCAGCATGTGGGATCTTAGTTCCCCGACCAGAGATCAAACCCAGGCCCCCTCCAGTGGAAGTACAGAGTCCTAACCATTGGACCACCAGGGAATTCCCGACTGGGTTATATTTAACTCTTGAACAGTATACCATTTTGTGTGGCTAATTTTTCTCTTTTCTGTTCTCCTTAGGAATAAGTCAAACTATATTTCAAGATTAACTCTGCAGATTTTTAATGTCTATCTACTTGCTTTTCCAGCTGGAACTACTTATATAGACTAATTCGCAGTTTAAAATCTTGAGAACTTTGTTATCCCTAAGCATTTTGGAATTGGAATATTCTATAGTGGTATTTCATTTTTAGCCCTCCTCTAGAAGTGTCATATGACTTTTTTTTTTTAACTAAAGGAGAAAATATTGGGAGGAATGAAGGACGTAAGGGAGGAAGAAAGGAAGGAAAAAATGTTTTACACTATCTGATGAGTATTTACTCCACCCAGTGGAGATAACCAGGTGCCAGAAAGAATCACACATTTGAAAACCAGTTTTTAATTGATGGAAACACAGAGAACTAACTTGAATCTACTAGATGCCAAACTCTCTGTATTGGGTTATTTAATACATTATCTAATATTTAATCTTCACCAGAAAAAAAGGTGTAAACGTACTGAGGTTCAAAGAACTAGAACTGTTGCAAGTGACAGAGTCAGGATTTGAACCCTCAGTTCTAATTTGACTTCAAAGCCTAGGCTCTTAAACACTTACAGGACCCCCTTTAAAAGTCACTGTGGATCTTTCTGTAATTGGTACTTTCTCCCCATGTTAGGGAGTATTTTACATAATCTTGTGATATACTCCACACACTCTCTGACTCTACAGTTCTATTATTTGAATAAAGTTCATAACAAAGAAGAATAGGAACACAGACCTTCTGCCCCTGAGACTAGAAATACAGGATAAGGTACAGAGACTAATATTCCCTTATCTCTGCTTCTCTAAAGATGTAAGCTACTATTTGTTGTTGATAATAATAATATTTTCCAGGCACTGTGGTAAATATTTTTGAAGCATATTATCTCATTTAATCATATATCTCTTTTGCGAGGGTAGCTATTCATATTCTCATTTTATACATGAGGAATTTAAGACAATGTGTTATGTAACTTGACCAAAGTCACCCAGCTAGTAAATGGCAGAGATTAGATTCACAGTAAGATTTTATAAGGTAATTTACATGAGGTTAGAGTGGTATAGAAGTAGAAAGGGTGTTTTTTTTTGTTTGTTTGTTTGTTTTGGTTGCATCGGTCTTAGTTGCGGCACTCGGGATCTTCGTTGAGGCATGTGGGATCTTTCATTGCAGCACAGGCTCTGCATTGCGCCGTCGCGGTGCGCAGGCTTCTCTCTGGTTGTGGTGTGCAGGCTCCAGGGTGCATGCGCTCAGTAGTTGTGGCACGCAGTCTCTGTAGTTGAGGCACGCAGGCTCAGTAGTTATGGTGCGTGGGCTTAGTTGCCCTGTGGCATGTGGGATCTTATTTCTCCAACCAGGGATCGAAGCCAGGTCCCCTGCATTGGAAGGCGGATTCTTTTCCACTGGACCACCAGGGAAATCCCCTAGAAAGGGATTTTTTTTTTTTTTTTTTTTTTAAGAAATGCGGGAAAGGAAACTAATATAGTATTATAAATCAACTATACTTTAATTTAAAAAGAAGAAGACTAAAGAGGCATAACATCCAAATGCAATGTATTATCCTGACCTAACTACTCTGGACAAGAAAAATAATGTTTTAAAAGACATCTGGGGCAGTTGTCAAAATTTAACTATGCACTGTGTATTAGACAACAGTGTCTTATCCATGTGAAATTTTGTGATTAGATTGTGGGTATATAAGAGAATGGGAAGATAGTCTTGTTCTTAGCAAATGTACACTAAAATACTAGGGAGTCAAAGGGCATGATGTCTACAACTTCTTTGTAAATGGGTCATAGAAAAATATATGTACATATAAAGAGAGAGGATAATAAAGCAAATATTTCAAAAAAAAAAAGAGAGAGAGAGAAAGAAATGTGGGAGAGGGGCCTCAAGACCTCTGTGGGAGAGCACAATTACTAACATGTCCCAGAAAAATAAAATGTATACTCTGAGCATAAACAAAATCATGGCTGCTACCTTCCTCCAAAAGACAATGCTAGAATATAGCCTATAGTCATCATAGATCTATTACAGTGTAGTAATACGTGGACTGAGTAGAATAACGATAGAAATCAGTCCCTTTCTTCCCCTTTACAACAGCAGTATTCCACCCTGCCAAAGTGGAACAGATATGCAACGGAGAAAATGTACATTGGGACCTGGAAGAAGAATGTAAGAGTGATGATTAGGAACTATTTGGGAAGAAAGTCACAGGACTATGGGTGAAAATTAACAAGAAAAGTAGTATTGGTCATGATTTACCTCTACTTATACTTCAGTATTTAACTATTTGCCCCTTTTTTAAGCCAGAATCATTGCTCCCTTGATCTACTCACTTTATTAAATCAAAACCATTTGGATTTGGTTTAAATTTGTAAAAATTCACAAGTATGCATATGTTCTATTTAGGAGAAAAAAACCCTGTGCTGGTTTATATTTTTCATGTAAGAGCATCTTTTAGAAACTCAAAAAAACCTGAAAATGAATTTCTTAAAACCATATTTTCTAATGACATATTTAGGATTTGATTTTAAAATTGGAGAATGGGAGGAGGAGAGGTGATGTAAATATGGCAGAATGTCAATAATTGTTGACTGGGTGATGGGTATGTAGGGGTTCTTTGTACTAGTCTCTCTTATTTTACATAGGTGTGAATTTTTCATCAATAAAAATCATTCTGTTATGTATTCTAATCTCTGCAATAGAGCAGCATAACTAATATTCTAGTGAAGACTCATTACTAAACTTTCTCAGTGTTGCTGATGGTAGGGTATGATTCTATAAAAAACAGTGTTAAAAACATACCAGAGAAGAAATGACCAGGTATACTTTGACATTAAAGAAAAATTATCTAACCAAGAAACCAAAATTATAGCAGAGTTTTTCTGATACTTCCACTTTTAAAAAAGAATAACGTTGCAAAAAACATGAAAGGAGGAGTTTATACAAATAGCTTTCAGGCATCTTCCACACCAGTGGTTCCCAACATGCATAAAGAATATATAAATTCTTATGTGAAAGAAGTATCATTTGTAGAACAAAAATACAAATAAACTTATAGAAAAAATATATACACACTACTGATTTTCAAATATATGAAGCTGTTTAATGTGATTAACAAAATACAACTTAATTCAAAAAGCATTTCTGAATTCATTGTAACTTTTTGTCATGATACATTTTTTCTTAATGCATGGATACTAAAATCATAGCTACAGTCTGAAAATCTCTGAAATAGTTTGTGTTTCAGTTAGAATTGAGAACCATTACTACATACTCATGATGCTTTTTTTCTTTCTTATGTGTTAATGTGTATTTCCAGGGGTTGGTGTGTGCTGGATTGGCTGACATGGCTAGACCTGCAGAAAAACTCAGCACAGCCCAATCTGCTGTTTTGATGGCTACAGGTAAATTAAATGAATATCTTCCATACCAGGCGTTCAAAAATTTTGTTTTATATCAATGTACTTAACTGTTTCATGTTTGAAATACATATACACACACTCACACAGAAAGAAATTAGCAGTGTTATCTCTAGGAAGTTATTAGACTATAGCCAAAGAAGGCAGAGGAGGCTTATAAAAATGTCCCTGTGATGTAAGAACTGAGTGTTTTCTGAAATGCTGAATTATAGCAACTTCATTAAAGTCTCAAATTATAGCATTTCTTTGTCCTACTTTTTGTTGTCATAGTCTTATTTATAATTATGTTACTCTAATATTAAATGTTCAAATAAGATTGCAGCAGTACCTATGCTTTTTTAAAAAAAAATTTTATTTCAACAGGGTTTATTTGGTCAAGATACTCACTTGTAATTATTCCCAAAAACTGGAGTCTGTTTGCTGTTAATTTCTTTGTCGGGACAGCCGGAGCCTCTCAGCTCTTTCGTATTTGGAGGTAAGCTTACCACAGATGTAAAAAAAAATCTGCCTCAGAAGCCATCCGGCTGGCAATACTTTTTTTTTTTAAGATTCATATATAATGCTAAGACAGGATGTGCCTGAAGCAGACATTAAACATTTCTAGAAAGCCTGGGGGTTTGAGTTAAAAGTGTTAGGCAGTATATTACCTAGGTTTTAAATCTGTGTGTTACCTAGCCCTTTGATAGAGTCTCTTTTATTAAGATAACATATATAATTTAGGATATATTAGGTAATTTTCTGCATGAACTTTTTATCACTTACTTTCAATCAAATATGATAAAGTGAGACTTAAATGTATAGTTATATAGTACTGGAAATGATGTTTAAAGTGAGGCTGCTAGTTTCATTGGAAAGTATGTATTCCGTGAGCATTGGAAATTTTTAAAATTCAGTGATTAATATTATTTGTCAGTGACTGGTTAACACTCTGCAGTGAGCTTAGATGAAGGCTCTGGCTTGATTTGAACCATAGAACCTTCCTAAATTACAAAACAATGTTATGAATAACAGCTTTCTTTAACTAAAAAAATTGAATGATTTCAGTAAAGAAATAGAAAACATTGAGCTATATAATTTACCTTCCTTTCAGAAGGCATTCTATTCTGCAGAGTATAGTACATTTTAATTTCATTCATCTGTACCATCCCTAGCTTTACTAGTAGCTTAATTCTGTAATCTTTTCATAATATTCTAGCACATAACGCATAGATGAATAAATAAACTCACTCATTCTACACAATGCCTGACAACCATTTTTAGGGCTTACTTATATCAATATAAGCTTCAATTAGTACAGAGATTTTATTCACAGAGTACTTTTCTCATGCACCATCTCATTTTGACCTTACATTAACTCATGACAGTAGAACTATGAGAACACTACGTGCCACATTCAGAAATATTATTTCTAATATCAGAAATTCAGGTTTAGTTTGACAAAAGGATTTTTGGCCTTTCGGTTACAATAGCAGATTAGATTTAGTTAGAAATATAAATGTTGGACTCTCTGGAGGACTTAGGAAAATACTGTTGAATGTTTGAAATCAGGACCTTTTGAGAAATCTAGGAGGTATGGTAGGCTTCATGGAATAAGTTCCCTCTTGTGCTTATTCAGTTTTCCACTTTATTTTCAGCTGAGAAGAATAGTAAATGAAGCCCAGGGTGATGTAAAAGGGAAAGACTCTGTAGCTTTGTGGTTAATTCTTCTTTGAATTAATGATAATTGAAGAAATTGTCCTTAGATTCAATAAACTTTAAGTGTTACAACCTCCTAACCCAGTAGCCTGCCTGCATCACAGAAATTTACATTTTATTTTTAGTGATTAGACAGGCCCATTCCCAATTGATTTTATTCTCAGGAAAGATGCTTTGTGAGTATAAAATTAAAAGTTCTAGATGACCACGTTTTGGTAAACTTTATACATATATTCACGTTTGTCATACTCTTGTATAGTTCTAGAATGAAAATATTCTTACATTAAAATAATATTTTTGTACAGGGAACTGTATGTCAGTTAAGACGTTTTGACAGTTGGAAACCAGATTCAAAAAAGTCCTTGGATTACTCTCCCATCTGCCTGTTTCTTCCTATAAGCCTCTGGGAAGATTGTATTTACAACTGTATAGCCTCTTGACTAGAGAGAAAGAAGAGATGGAATATGCTTCCCACTCCCTTCTTATTATAAATGTATCTATTGTGATTCATGATTTTTTTCTTTCTGTTTTCTTTATAGATATAACCAAGGACTAAAAGCTAAAGCAAACAAATAAGAGTTCTTGATCCCCTAACAACCTAGACGTGGACATAACCACTGGGACCTAGTTTGATTTATTATTCAGTCGTCAATGAGGTGATGCTAACTGTGCTAACATTTGTAAGGCATAAATTCTAACTGTAATTGGGAGATAGTACTTGATTCAACAGAAAAATAAAGCAAACTTTTAATAATATTGTCTCTTTACATATTACTTAAGGAATTTATCTATGGATATTAGTAACATTTTTTTTTACTATTTGTCCATAATAAATCATACTGCTCGTACGTACCACTGGCCTCCTTCTGTTCTAGTCAACCAAAGTGTGTACGTCTAAGAGCACACATATTCCAGTGAGTCAAAAGATAGTCAGAAAGTTAAATAATCTGTGTACAGTGAAGGATGATGAAGTAGCTAAAAGTGAAAGGAAATAGAGCTAAAGAGAGCGAGAAATGGGTTGTGGAATGGCCAGCAACATGACACCTCAAACTGTTTTAAAATATTTTAACTTGAAATGAAGAATCTTGTGAAGAATATTATTTTTTGTATGTTGTATGAAAGTCTTTTACAGCTACAGAGTAACAAAGGATTTGTAAATTTTTGAAATATATTCAATAACTGATGTGATGTGGCAGAAAAGCTCTAGAGTCAGGCGGACCTGAATTTGAATCCCAGCTGTGTGACTTATAATCTCTGACTTTGGGGCAATTTAAGAAAGTGTCCAATAAAATACTGTGTGTGTGTGTGTGTGTGTGTGTGTGTGTGTGTGTGTGTGTGTGAAAAAAAAAAGAAAGAAAGAAAGTGTCCAGCAGAGTGCCTGGGACATAAGTCAGCTTTCTGTAAATGTTTGTGACCTTTGTCCCCGTTAGGAGGATTCATATTTGATTTGAATTCCCATTTGGGGTACTGACCTTTCTTCTGAAAATCCTAGTAAAACCAATCCTGGTTAGAACTGTAGTCAGAGAACTCAGCAAAGCCAGTTATTTCTAAATTTGAAAGAAGTGACAAAAAGAACTTTTTGAGTAATAATATACTATAATCAAAATTTGGCAATTAGCAATTGAAAACCTTGCACTTTATCTTTTAACCCTTCAGCATTGTCCATCTTTGTTTTGTTTTTTTAACCAATAAAATTGTAGTGATTTTAACTGAAAACCACAAATGTTTATTATCTCATAGTTTCTGTGGGTCAAGGACCCTGGAGCAGCTCATATGAATGCCTCTGGCTTGTGCCTGTGGCTCAGGGTATCACAGGATGCAGTCACCTCAGGCTCACCTCGGGGGAGATCTGCCTCCGAGCTCTCTCACATGGATATTGCCCATTCTCACATCCTCTCTGGCTCTTGGCCAGAGACATCAGTTCTTCACCAAAAGGGCTGCTTTCCCCAGAGTGAAAATACCCGAGAGGGAGAGAGGATGAGAGAGTTCCTAAGACAGAAGCTGCAGTCTTTTTATAACCTAATCTCATAAGTTATATCCCATCACTTCTGCCATGGTCTAGTTTTGGGGGGTCTTTTTAAACTTTTTATTTTATATTGGAGTATAGTTGATTAAAGCACTGTCCATCTTTGAAGAGGAAGGATTAGAAAATTTGACACAGGCAAAAGTGAAGAGGTCCTCAAGCGTCAAATTATTACTGCTTTCTCTTTTCAAGCCACACTGTTATATTTGTTTGGCATGTGAATGCACACATGTGTACGTATTTTCTAGGGTTAAGCATTTAAGGAAAACATATACTATTAAATATGGCACAGATACAAAAAAGTTTATGAAAATGTGTGTGTTGAAATTGGTGTTTCACTTCCTTTTCATTAAAACCTGCTCTTTCCTATATGGGTTCTCCGAAGCCCCACTTGTCAGTCAAATTAATTGTAGCATTTAGATGCAATCACAGACAATCCTTTTGATTCTCAGAAGCTACATCGACAGACTGTCTCATGCTTCCTTTCTGCCCAAAAACTTTCATCCATCCCACTATTAAATCTTAAAAATTAAAGATTCTAATATGTATCCAATCGAAAACTCTCGCTGTCAGTGATCAGTTTCATAACTACTCTCAAAAACTTAGAAAGAAGCAACTGTATACCAGAAGTCCTTACTATCAATATAGCTACTAAACTTCATAAAAGAAGCTTTCACAGTGGTAAAAATCACTCAGTCTAGTTGAGTTTAATTCTATATCAAAATTTTCTAACAAATCCTTATTGATCGCTTCATTAGGTACATTTTCTCAAGGCCAGGTCTGATAGGCCTGTGTTTCAACCCAACTCTGCCACATATTAACTGTGAGACCTTGTTAATGTTTGTTTCTGAGCTTTAGTATTTTCAACAGTAAAATGGGGAAAATAATAGTACTTACTTCATAGGATTGTCGTCAAGATAATCGAGGTAATGTTTTAACACAGTGCCTGGTGCATGACAGGTGTTAAATAAAATGTAGAAAATGTCAGAAAATGGGAAGTTTTTTTTTTTAATTTTATTTTTCTTTATACAGCAGGTTCTTATTAGTTATCTATTTTATACATATTAGTGCATATATGTCAATCCCAATCTCCCAATTCATCCCTCCCCCTGCTTTCCCCCCTTGCTGTCCATACATTTGTCCTCTACATCTGTGTCTCTATTTCTGCCTTGCAAACCAGTTCATCTGTACCATTTTTCTAGATTCCACATGTATGCATTAATATATGATATTTGTATTTCTCTTTCTGACTTATTTCACTCTGTATGACAGTCTCTAGGTCCATCCATGTCTCTACAAATTACCCAATTTCGTTCCTTTTTATGGCTGAGTAGTATTCCATTGTATATATGTACCACATCTTCTTTATCCATTTATCTGTCGATGGGCATTTAGGTTGCCTCATGACCTGGCTATTGTAAATAGTGCTGCAATGAAAATTGTGGTACATGACTCTTTTTGAATTATGGTTTTCTCTGGGTATATGCCCAGTAGTGGGATTGCTGGGTCACATGGTAATTCTATTTTCAGTGTTTTAAGGAACCTCCATACTGTTCTCCATAGTGGCTGTATCAATTTACATTTCCACCAACAGTGAAAGAGGGTTCCCTTTTCTCCACACCCTCTCCAGCATTTGTTGTTTCTAGATTTTCTGATGATTCCCATTCTAAGTGGTGTGAGGTGATACCTCATTGTAGTTTTGATTTGCATTTCTCTAATACTTAGTGATGTTGAGCAGCTTTTCATGTGCCTCTTGGCCATCTGTATGTCTCCTTTGGAGAAATGTCTATTTAGATCTTCTACCCATTTTTTGATTGGGTTTGTTTTTTTAAATGTTGAGCTGCATGAACTGTTTATATATTTTGGAGGTTAATCCTTTGTCCATTGATTTGTTTGCAAATATTTTCTCCCATTCTGAGGGTTGTCTTTTCATCTTGTTTATGGTTTCCTTTGCTGTGCAAAAACTTTGAAGTTTCATTAGGTCCCATTTGTTTATTTTTGTTTTTATTTCCATTACTCTAGGAGGTGGATCTTTCTGTGATTTATGTCAAAGAGTGTTCTTCCATATTTTCCTCTAAGAGCTTTATAGTGTCCAGTCTTACATTTAGGTCTTTAATTGATTTGGAATTTATTTTTGTGTATGGTGTGAGGTAGTGTTCTAATTTCATTCTTTTCCGTATAGCTGTCCAGTTTTCCCAGCACCACTTATTGAAGAGACTGTCTTTTCTCCATTGTATATCCTTGCTTCCTTTGTCATAGATTAGTTGACCATAGGTGTGTGGGTTTATCGCTGGGCTTTCTATCCTGTTCCATCGATATATATTTCTGTTTTTGTGCCAGTAACATATTATCTTGATTACTGTAGCTTTGTAGCATAGTATGAGGTGAGGGAGTCTGATTCCTCCAGCTCCATTTCTTTGCCTCAAGATTGCTTTGGCTATTCAGGGTCTTTTGTGTCTCCATACAAATTTTAAGATTTTTTTTGTTCTAGTTCTGTAAAAAATGCCATTGGTAATTTGATAGGGATTGCATTGAATCTGTAGATTGCTTTGGGTAATATAGTCATTTTCACAATATTGATTCTTCCAATCCAAGAACATGGTATATCTCTCCATCTGTTTGTGTCATCTTTGATTTCTTTCATCAATGTCTTATAGTTTTCTGAGTACGGGGTTTTTTTACCTCCATAGGTAGGTTTATTCCTAGGTATTTTATTCTTTTTGTTGCAGTGGTGAATGGGATTGTTTCCTTAATTTCTCTTTCTGATCTTTCGTTGTTGGTGTATAGGAATGCCAGAGATTTCTGTGCATTAATTTCGTATCCTGCAACTTTGCCAAATTCATTGATTAGCTCTAGTAGTTTTCTGGTGTCATCTTTAGGATTATCTATGTATAGTAACATGTCATCTGCAAACAGTGACAGTTTTACTTCTTTTCCAATTTGTATTTCTTTTTCTTCTCTGATTGCCGTGGCTAGGGCTTCCAAAACTATGTTGAATAATAGTGGCAAGAGTGGATATCCTTGTCTTGTTTGATTTTATTGTGATTGCACCCTCCTACTGTCTCATTGCAGCTTCTCCTTTGTCTTTGGATGTGGGGTATCCTTTTTGGTGAGTTCCAGTGTCTTTCTGTCGATGTTTTTTCAGCAGTTAGTTGTGATTCCATTGCTCTCGCAAGAGGGAGTGAGTGCACGTCCTTCTACTCCGCCATCTTGAACCAATCTCCTCGGGAAGCTTATTAATTGAAGACAGACCCAAAAAGCACTTTCTTAAACAAAGGAGTTTTAATTTAGCTGCCCAAAGGATATAATGTGTTAACCTATTTGCACACCTTCTGAGGTCCTAACTGTTGGAATTCTTGAGGCTTTCACAGGTTAAAGCAGAAAACAAGCTGTTTTGGGGTGGTGGGCCAGAGGTGGGGTAGAGAGGCTCAGTAAGAGATAAATTCTTAACCTCATCTGTTTTATGGTTTGGCATTCATTTCAAAAAACAACATTGATCCAAAGTACATCAATACTGTTTTTTCTCCATGGTAAACAGATTGTTTTTTTAAGTTGTTATAATGATGGTGAAAGGTTGAATCGAAACAAGGATTGACCTCAAAGCCTAGATTCCTCTCTGTAAAACAGAACAGTTTTACTGGAGCTTGTTTATATAATGAAACAGAGATAGAAAGTACTTGTATTTATTAAGACTGGCTTTCTCCCTAAGGAGTCTGTTTAATTATATGAGGTATGAATATAACTATGTTAAGACCGGTTTCCACAATGCCAGAAAATTTACTCAGCAAACATAATTAAATGAGCTTCTTTTTCTCCTCCCTTAAGAAAACTGTGTTTTTCAACATTCTGAAATACACAGTAAACTTAATTATAGGGCTGGGCTTTGTTTGAAAATGTTTGCTTGTTTTTCAGCTCAACTTTTTAAAATTCAGGTTTTACAAATGTGTCACTAAATATTAATTGTCATTGTGATATATATAAGAACAGCTAGAGAATCAAAATTGATTTAAGCTGTTAGAAAATATGCCGCCCTGGGCTTCCCTGGTGGCGCAGTTGTTAAGGGTCCGCCTGCCGATGCAGGGGACGCGGGCTCGTGATCCCGGTCCGGGAAGATCCCACATGCCGCGTAGTGGCTGGGCCTGTGAGCCATGGCCGCTGAAGCCTGCGTGTCCGGAGCCCGTGCTCCGCAACGGGAGAGGCCACGGCAGTGAGAGGCCCGCATACCGCAAAAAAAAAAAAAAAAAAAAAAGAAAAGAAAATATGCCGCCCTCTTAAAACACATTTTGCCAGTGTCCATAGGATGAAGAAACTCAAATCCAGTGCCACATTGTATTGCTGTTATCTGTGGGGTGAATTTGAGTGGAAGTATGGGCTTGACCAGTCAGAAAGGACAGGTGAAAATTTTACCTCACAAAAATCTCTGAAGAGAAGTATTGTAACGTAAATTTCATAGTCCTGGTAAAAGTCACAATCATTATTGACCAAAATTGGGTGTTTACTCAGGAGATACTTGTCTTTACGATAATCACCTACCAACTATTGCCTAATTTCAACCACCCACCACATAGAGAAAGAGTTGTGAAAACTACTCTGGCGTCTTATCAGTCTCCCTGACCCTTGCCCCAAATATCCAGTTTAGAGAACCTGAAACAGTCCTTGTGTGAGCAATAGGCCACTGGGGCTGGT